GATCGTTTGGATTAAAATCACCCTTATTAGATCTGCCAAAACACGTTTGACCGTATGAAGAGTTGGGACAGGATGTAGATAATCGCAATTCCGATTCTTAGTTCCTTCCAAAATTCAAGGATCGTAATATGCCGAATGTGCAACTTGTCATCCTCCATCTTTAAGGCATTCATTTATGGACCAAAGATCAACATTCCCAAAGTCTGACTCGCAACGGAATGATGCAATTTCTCACTCTAGAACAGTAGGACACCAATGTGTGTGTGTGTGTGTGTGTGTGTGTGATTGTCTGTAAACATTCAGATGTAAATGAAAGTATATCTGTAAAAAGAAACTATGAATAAAGACAAAATGAAAACTTATTTTAGTCGGTGTTTCCTCCTCTGATATATATATATATATATATATATATATATATATATATATATATATATATATATATATATATATATATATATATATATATATATATATATATGATATATATATATACAGGAATGACAAATATGGTTCCTATGGCCCGATTCTGCTGGGTGGATATGAACATTTAAACAAATATATTTATCATCAAAGGTGATATTCTGTTATGTTGACATAGATGAATACGATGCAACGATAACGGTCGCTGAATAGCAGACGCAGTTTTTAACCCTATATCTACTGTGAAGATGGCTCAAGTGAGCCGAAAGAATAGAGCAAAAACAGCATGATAAAAATATATCCAAATGTTGGATAATTTTTGTTTTTATTTTCTTCCGAAATTAACGGCTTATGATCAAATATAATAGACATTTGTTGACTGTTATATTTAAAAATATATGTCTGAATGATCTGCTTCCCCAATACACTATATATATATATATATATATATATATATATATATATATATATATATATATATATATATATATATATTAGGACTCATATAACTTTCTATCTAGCTATAGATTTTTTTAATACTTTTTTCTCACAGACGGCATTTGCGTAAGTATTAAAGTCTAATATTGCATTTCTAAATACTCTTGTCTGTTCTTGATTGAAACTACTTTTCTTTGGGAGGAATCAAAATTCTTCCTGTTTTTTATTAAGTTAACTGAATAGCAAATACGTAAGTCGACTGTAATAAAATGGCTATTCTGAAGGAGCTTTGGATGGGAAAAGACAGTTTCGCTCATAAAACACTAACGTTTTCAGCTGACTTAGAGCGGGAAGATTATAATGACGCACTTGTCAAGTCTGCAACTAAGAAAGCTGCTGCACTATGTCCCTATGTTTTCATTCATTATTTTGCAAGACCCTACCATACATACTTATAGGTCTACCGTTAGTCCTTGCTTTGAATATTGCCGCCACAACTGGTCTGGTGTTCCTGTTATATATTCTTCATAAAATCCGAAGAAGAATTTGCAATGTTATTGCTTCCGACAATCCAGTACTGCGTTTAAATTCATTTAATCCCTTACCAAGTATTTTCAGAAAAGACATAGGGAAAGTGGCAATGGAAAAGTGACTGAATACATTTTATACTAAAATGGACACCAATAGATTTTATAGAATAACCAACAATACATTTTCATAATAAAATGGCCAACAATACATTTTTATTATAAAATGTCCAATAATATATTTTATAGCAAAATTAACCAATTATATTTTATAGTAAAATTAACAGAAATACATTTTATAGTAGAATAAACATTTTATTATCTACAAACTAACTGTTGTGGTAAACCCTCCTACAGTAGATTGAACTCTTCCTCCTCTCATAAATACAAACTGCTAGGGTCGGATAGGAGAAGAAAGTGGGAAGTGGAGTGGAGAAGTAGACGCAGTGCTAATCTACTTATTACTAACACTATTGTTTTGTATATATCTTCAATATACCTTTTCAACCTATCTTCGTCTTCCATGTCTTTCTTTCTGGCCCTTAAACAGGCTACAACACTATCAGACAGTCAGTTATGTGCCATACGTGATACACGTTTAGCGGTCACGTATCTTTCAATACCTGACTGACGAGGCAGATTTTTTTTACCCCTGCAGTATTTCCATTTCTTTCTGCGGTAGACCAGTTGCCATCCAAGGCTACAGAACCCGTTCTGTCCTGCTATTTACCGATAGATGGGGAGGAAGAAGGGGATTCATACCTATCCCAAGGGTATTAGCACGGAAGTGAATGTAATAGATTCGACTGGAATTCGAACTCGGCTCGCCGATTCTTCAATCCGAGCAGTTATCCAACTAGCCTCTTCTTCCAACCGAGTCTCCTGCTATAAAATTATCTAAAAAAACATATGTTTGCCTTAAAGTATAAAAATATGTACAAAATATCTGCAGTTGAAAGCATAAAACTATACCTTTGCCCTACAAACATTTTTATTTCGATGACATAGAATACGCCGTATTCTAGCAGTAACGCTTGCATTATTAATGACTATTAACTATTATTTTCTATACAATTTTCAATATTTAACCAACTGACTCCGTATTAAAATTTGCTAAATCATGTTCTTA